GTATATGGTAAATTCCATATGATTTCATCCCGTAAAGATTTTTTTTCGATATTCCATTGCTATGCTGATTTCCTATTTTAGTATCTATCATATATTATAACAGGCCATTTGCACCATTGCTATTTCGTGTTGTTTTTGTCGTCTTTGAGACAGGTCTTCGTTTTGTTGAGGACTGTGCATTCGCATCTATGAATTGATTACTGGTATGTCCGAGAAAGTATAATACGAGCTATGACATTACGAAAGGAAAAGCTTCGAAACAGCTGGGACGGTTTTTTGGCTTAAACGCAGAAACGGATTTGGCTTCGACGTAATGATTTACCTATTTCATAAAGAAAAATGCTTTGGAAATGGCAGCTGTCTGTCACGGATAGAGTCATGGGAAGGATGTTTTGAACTTCACGTCTCGACCACGTTCTAAACACGGCGATCAGAAAGCGGACGGGAGTAAGGGACTTCATCCTTAAAGAAGTGGAAGAAGCTCACCGGCGAGAGGTGATCGTTGACTGGTATCCTCGTGGGCGGACTACTAGGTTGCTCAGTCGTCCAGCACAGCGGTTGGAAGATTATATTAGGAGCAGGGAAAGCCGCGCTTCGAGGGAGAAGGCTCGAAGCCGTGAGGAATCCAAGTGATCCTATCTATATTTTGGAAATAACTCCATAGTGTGAGACAAACTTTTGTTCTGGGAAATGATAAGAACTGAGTGGCAATGATTGGATTAACTTTGAGCACTATGAAATTACGCAGTCAAATAAGCATGTAAACCAATATATAAAACGATTGTTTTGAAGGAACAAATGTTTAGGGCTCAGTCTAACAACATCGAGTATAGTTCAGCCGGTCACTTCATCGACCACAACCGGAAAAATGACTACCGCTGATCTCCCCACCACAAAGCATTTCACCATTGAAGGACATGAAGGTAAAGTTGCAAAAGTAATGATACATTCGTCATTTGTTCTCAGCCGGTATGGTGTAGTCGGTCATATATCACTGTCATTTTTCTTAACGTTACGTTTCAGAAACTGAGTCAAACGCATGCGGAATTTCGCTTAAACCTCTACAAGCAAACAGAGAAAGGTTTCGGATTATAGATGGGGAAGAAACGCCGAACTGCGCTCTCCCATGGAACGCATTTGTACGATCAGAGGACCTGATTAAGTCATATATGTGCACTGGAGTGATCGTCGGTGAGTATTGGGTGCTCACCGCTGCTCACTGTTTTCCCAATCGGTAAGTCTTAGCGAGTTTTGTTTTCACTGTCGTTTTACATTTCTTGCTTATGAAACTGAGTCGATTGCTCAGTGATGTTAATGGTCAGGGTGATTATCCCGGTTGCAGCATCAAAACGCGTCGGCAAGTAAAGACTAAGGTCGTCGTACTTTGAACTACAGATCTGTAAGCGGAGACCATTAACGGCTATTCAGACGGCTATGAATCGATTAGTCCTTCCATAATTAATTGTTCAATGATGCGCTTTGTTGACGTGACGTCACTGGGGTCAACCTTGGAAATTATTCACGATTTTGGAACGGCTCTTGAACGAATGCCATATCATTTATGTTTATCGTTAGGACGAAATTACCGCAAAAAAAAAACACTTTTCGCAGAACATGCATAATTTTTAGTTTAAAGCAGATATGTGCTGTAACTACGTCTGTCACTCTCGTCAAAATGGGATTATGTGACTGGTTTTTTATTACCGCAAAATTTCCCACGGAAATGTGCCATCATGTTTGCAGTTCAACATTGTTCTCTACTTTCTTATGCAAAACGGTGATAAAGGCGTGAGTCTCGTTTTGGAAGTAAAGTACAGTTCAAGAAATCTGGCCAGATATATTGCTCATCTGGAATATGTGATGTCCATCTGGCAGCTTAGATGTACAGCGGAGGTTCGAGAACTGCGTCGTTCCTAGTATTCAGGAGTTACCGGTTGAGAGAAGCCTATATGAACTTACATGCCAACAGACGGGCAAGTACAGCACATGCGCAAACCATCATAAGATATTGAGAAGTTCAGTGAGGAAGTTTGATTACTTCACTTTTACCCTCTACTGCGACAGCAAATGTAGTTAGTTTACACAGCAGGATCGCCATCTCTTGCTTTGATTTTGGAAGGTAAAGTTTATGACCACTGGAATGTTAGTCTTCCTTATGCTTTCATGATGGGATCATTTCTGGCGCCTGTTTTCATGAATTCGATGGTTGGGCAATGATCACAATTTCTACGTATTGACCACCAATGCCTTATTTTCAAGACAGATCTGATAGCAGCTATATGGCAGAATTATGCAGTCTGAAGCACAGTATTTCTTACTCAGAGTGTGATACTCGTTTGTTGACTTTGGAAGGAAGAAAAAAGAATTGCCCAACCGTGGTTCGAATACATTTAGTTTCTGAGTTCGACGCTCTATATACTGAGCAACGCTATCTGATTTGGTGCATCCTGTCCAATATAAATTTCTTTTCCGTGAAAGTCCGCATATTTTTTGTTTCAGTACAGTGTCGTTATATTTCGTTTTTCAAGAACTACAATTGAACCGTTTATAATAACACTAATTTCAACGTGTGCAAAAATGTAAATGGTAACGCCATGTAAGCTATGAGGCTTTTGCTATGAGCTATGAGGCTATCAAGCACAGGTATCCTTGTACCATCAGTCGAGACACTAGTCCTGCACCAAAATTCTTTTCTCCATGTGCAATGATAATGAAGATTGTACCCTGCTCATTACTCTTTTAAATCATATCTGCCAAAATTACATTCAGAAGCACTGAAGACATTTTTATGTTGATTATGGCTTACGAGATTAAGGCTTTTGCAACGCAAGCAAAAAACCGCGTCACCATATTTTGTAGAAATAGAATGCACTTGAACATCAGCTGCTGCAAAACGTCAGCCTGTGGGCTCACCGATGGTACCGTTCAGAATACAAATTATTCATACCGGAATGGACTGTAACTGATTTCTTTTTAGTCAAAGTATGTATTATTCGAGTTCACCATCTTAAAATCAATATTATCAGTTCATGTATAAATTTTAGGGCAAGAAAGTAATGCCCTTTTCCATACCAGTAAAAAGTATTTCTACTCTGAACGGTGATTATATAGACCAACATACGGACTACGCTCCGCGTTTACTAACAGAAGCTACTTTTCTCTTCTACTTGTTCTATAAATATGAATGTTTATATCGCTTTTACTTATTTGCATTTTGTTAATCGAACTGTGACTTTGCTAGATGCTTATGGTACTTTTTGCATCCTGCATAACATGCCACGGTATCCTATTTAAATGGTTCCGTGGGCATCAAGCACTAACTTTTGTTAGTAAAATAGAATTTCGTTTCAAATTTTGCCTGTATCTAATTTTTGTAATACACAGTTGAAAATTTTTTCCTTTATGATGGGAAATAGTTGTTGGAATAATTAACCTTGAGGAAAAAACATGTAAATAAATCCTTAGTGATTGTAAGTTACGTCAGATGTGAGATATAATATACGCGTTATTGATTACAGTCTGCCGAAGCTGAAAGTGCTGGTAGGCACAAATCACAAAAATGACGGAAGCGGTATATGGCACGACGTCGAAGCAGCAATTCCTCATCAGTTGTATACGCATCACACCCGCGGATACGATGTCGCGTTGCTAAGGACGGAAACTGCTATAGTATACAACGACTGTACACGACCAGTTTGCATTGCAAAGCCCACGCCAGACTTTGGAAGAGAGTGCGTCGCAAGCGGCTGGGGTTACACTGATAGGGGTAAAATTCTGGTGTTTTTGCTTTGTTTGAAGGAAATATGATTTCTTGTAAATCATTTGGCCATGTTCGATGATCGCTTTTCTTTTCGGCTCGCGGATGCAGCATTTTCAGACAGTATCTTCCATGTCTTTGATCATGTGCCAGCATCTGATCTTATGCAGAACAAAGTGAGGGCTTCAAGTAGAATGGAGTCCGTAGGTCATTCTTGTTTGCCCCTGGAGCTTTCGTCGGTTTCGTCGCCCCCGGACCTTGTAACACAATTAACTTTGAAAAACGACTCGCGCCTGATGGTTCTTGAAATCAGTAAATCAATCAGTTAATGATATACATTACCTGCAACCGGTCTTTCAGCTCAGAGAAAAGCGCAACAATGCTCATGTGACTTCGACTAACTTGTAACATAGCAAATTGTTTCAACAGGACAATGTCAGGGACTGACCCACTGTTGTTGTATGGCACAGTCATCAATCGAACTGTAGAGCCATATGCCGGGTGGCTTTGCAATCTCTAACGTGTCTGATGGATTTCGTTCGCCATGTTTCACAGCCTTTTTCTTGCTGATGCCTAATTTGCACATGTTTAAAGTAACCGTCGTACCATCTTCCTCCTTGAAAAGAAACATAATGCTGCATTTACAGTTGTCTAAGAAAAGAGCGTTAGGACGGTACAAACGCTGAAAAGCACAAGAATTCACTATTTTTTGCGTAAATATTTTCACACTTCTGTCTGATTTAAACGTGATAATAAACTAAATGTGAAATGAACTTACAGTACCAGGAAATCGTGTGTGATGCATCTAACATATCTTTATCTTCTAGAGAATAGTGTAAGTCCATATCGTCTACGTGACGTGGTCTTGGAAACGGCCCCGTGCGACCGTTGTGTTGGAATAGCCTTTCGACCGAATCACAGTGCTGTGTACGGAACGTTCTGCGCTGGGAACCCAAACAATGAAAAAGATATTGCCTTTGTAATTGCTGCTTCTATTAATTTCTGCGAAATTGTTGCTAGCGTTTATTTTTGGTTTATTGAAAACATGAGCTTAATGATATACCCAGAAAACGCAGATTGAAGAATAACCTTTAATCAGAAACCTCTAAAATTATTAATTTTCCACGCATGGTTCACAAACTGTGCCGATTTCTAGTCATAGATTAGGTGGACTGGAACGAACTGCAGCCGTGAAACTCAGGCATCAGGAGAAATGTTGATCATTATGGTTTGACCGACCAAGGCATTACGCAGTCTCTGTTGTACGCAGATTATTGTCTTATTACTCTTTTCTAAACTGGTTCCACCGAAGCGAATAGGAAGTGAATAGCCTGCCGAAAGGAACAAAAAATTTATTAGAAATTTACTCCTCAATGAGACTCAACCCCAACTAATCAAAAGTGAAAATCGAAATTACAGTTCACAGCGCTAGCAAGGTTAATGAATTCGCATAAATTGAGCAATATCATCTGAACCGCTTCTGAAGCATTACTGCATTCTGTATTATAAAGGAAAGAAATTCTATGACTAACTTATCGTGGCCTTTGTACGAGGTTCTCATTGACGGGCATATGAAAAGAAGAAAAAGAATTTTGATTTAAGACAGCGGGCGTGGGTGTCTGAATCGAAAAATGGAGGCTTCTTCGAACGTAAAAACTGTGCGCTGTGCTTTCATAAAAATCTTGTATCTGAGTCCAGCGACTTCAAGGAGGATACTCGACCCCTGTTTAGCCCAGTATATTCTTTCCCAGTATATAATGAAGAATATGTCTGTCAGTAACGGCGTCTTTCATTGGCAAAGCCACTAAACTGCGGAGTTGTGCTAAGCAGTGTATTTTGACGTATCACAATTGGAATATTTTGTTCGTGCATTAGTGGTTATACTGACTGAGAAATAGCATAGACTACAGTCTGTTAGTATGCAACGCAAAACATAATATGATCACTTAGATCATTTATCCCTACTGACGATTCTGCCCGTATCTCACAAGCCTTCTTCAAGGTAAGCAGGTGGTAAAGTTTTCTGTGTTTCTTGTTTTTCGCAGAAATTGATAAGTTTTGAACCAGAAAGGTTTCTGATACTCA